GCTGCTGCTATCTGTGCTGCCCTAGCTAGGACTTACTGTTTTTGAGCTCTCTTCATTGAGCATTGCTGCAAGGTACAGGGTGATAACCCCCCCCCAAAAAAAAAACCGGCACAATTTTGTTTTCTAAATATCTCGCAAAAAATTTGTACTAGAATGTTGTAATTTGGAACATATACAATTCATTCAAAAGGAATTTTTTTGACAAAAATTCACAAAGAACAAACTTATGTTCGAAACCAGAAATGGCTTTTATAAAAACCACCTATAAATGCAAAATGCACCAATTTAATGTAATGATTGGTTTGTCTTTTCCTTTCCTTTCATTTTATAATCTTTTCATCCCTGTAATCTTTCAACAATATTTTTTCTCCTACAGAGTAAAGCCATATTTTTTAAATTCTGGAATTCTGAGAACCAATGGTCTATATGTCCTCCTTTGGACTCGACACATTTTAACACATCATCCGTAATGTTCAGTTGTGGCCAAACACAAGGATCCACTCAACCATGAGTACTCAAAGCTACACAAAATGTACACCTTACAGTATGGAGCTGTTGTTTCTAGAGATAATACGGGGGGGGGGTTGCCCAAATAGACAACATTTGAGGAGTTAATATAACCCGAGAGGTGAATATGGGCTCTGCCAAGGAACCAAATGTCATAAAGGAAATGTTCACGTTTTTCGAGACGATCGAGGAATCATGAACACATTGCTATTCTATGATAGCTTCGCAAACAAGAAAATGGTACAGAAGTAGATGAAGATCTGCCTTGAGAATGCAGACCGTAGAGAATTAGGAAAGTCGTAGCTGCAGACATCGTCTACAGACAGACATCTCATGGGGCTCATCTACTGAATTCTGCACCCTGGTGACGTTTAAAGGGGTGTGAACGGTGTGTGTCTGACCTGAAATGGTCGTTTTGTCTATGAATTTTTAGATCTGATTCTCTACAGGTCCCAACCGATGGACCATTTCCACCCTTGATGTCAAAGAAGGACTTAAGGGCATTTTAACATTATTTCCGTACCTTGTGCGACACTTACAAAATGAGCTGATGGTGAGAAAATGTTCAATACAAAAAGCTCTCTGCTCTTTACTTATCTTAACCATGATCTCAGCAGGCAAACGAAACTTGAGAAAAACTATTTGCAAACTTCTTTTGGCCTGAAAGACTACTGTAGTTTGCAATATGCCGCAATCGTTGGGATTTTAGTGGTAGGCCTAATGCGAACTAGTGCGTCACGCTACAAAAATTGGGGGGGGGGGGAGTTATGCGCTATGTAGAGCAAAACTATTGTGTGGCAGACAAATTCCTTTTGACTTCCAAATGTTGTGTACAAATTTGAAACGCAAAACTTAGGGTGTGGAGGAAAATATTTTTGGAAAAAGTTGTACAGTTTTTTTTAGATCACCCTGTACTTCAACTGATTCACAGTTTCAAGTTCCTGTTCACGAACTGTGATTTCCTTCTTTATGGGCTTTATGCTATTTGTCATGAGCTTTGTCTTTTCGGCACTGATCCCCAAGCCATTCCAGGGAGACGTCTTTTCTTGATGGCGTTCAAACCTTACTAGATTTAAAACCATCTGTATCCCTTGTAATAGAATAACAAATTCACCTCCTTTCACAAAAACCACTGAAGCAAGCACAACATAAAATTTTACTTAAATGCAAGCCAGACATTTCAGCACATGAAATATTTTTTCCTCAAATACTGTACCTAAAAACCTTTGTACAAAACACAGAGGACTTCCAAGTGGGAGAATAGGGTAAGAATGATAGGTGAATAAAATGAGCCAAGCTACATTTGTACAACACAGCAATTACAGGCACGAGAAGAAGGTCCTTTATATGAATATGAACTTCATTAAGTTCAAACCTACCTTGTATAGTCCAACAAATTGCTGACAGAATGTGGCGGGTAATATATTGCAATCCTTTTCTTCAACAGCATGGCTGTGTAAATGAAAATTGTTTCCACACCAAATGTCTGTATGATGTCTGGTATGAGAGAAAAAAAAAAAGAAAGAAAAATGTTAATACCGGTGCCATATGTTACATGAAGCCTATAGAAAACAAAATGTCAATAGCAGTTCAGAGTAATACTTTCTGTCGTGGTAGAAGTTGCACTAGGACATCTGCTGGACAAAATAGAAGGCTGGGCCAATTTTTTAATTATATCACGCTCACTTATTTACTTCTTATCTACCAGGCCAATTTTTTATTCTGTCATGTATATATTTATTCTTTTCTTTGTTCTATACGTCCTACAATTACCCATCTACAGGGACATGATCCCGTGTACTAAAAATCTTACTGTCTCTCCTGATACATGTACCAGTAATTTTCTGAGTCAAAATAGCCTCCCCTTATGCTATCAAATACAAGTACTATGAAATACAAGTAGAGACATCACAACCAGCTGTGATCACTGAAAACACAGTCTGAAAACATGACAGCAGGATTAAATAGAACTCTGCACTATATTAGAGCAGCAAATTTCGTTGCTTCTCCCGAACAGCCAGACAGCTTTTAACTGTACCCAGTTCAATAGCATTATAATGAATGACAAAATTATATTTCTTTAAACCCAAAAAATATACAGACTTTGAAATAATTGCTGTGTTGGCAAGCTGTTGTTGTCAGTGTATATGTTTGTTGGGTTTCCGTTTCCCCAGCAGTGTGATGCTCTGGTACTCTTTAAAAGTAATAGAACAAGAGTGGCACCATGTCTCTTGGGGGACAGTGCTCAGTACCTCTGATCAGAATAGCAAAACAATGGTCCATGGTGGCTAGTTTGTGGGTTGGAAACCCTTAGTGTTTTGATCGTCAGTCGTAGTATTTCGATGCAGACGAAAAAGGATACATAAACCCTTTGAAAAGTAATGTAAGTGTAAGAGTAGCAGTTTAACACCCCTATCAACACTATTAGGTTATCTAAGAGGCGAGACCTCAGAATTTAACGTCAGTCTCCGATAGGACTGAGCCAAATTGGTTGAGAGCCATGAAAGCTACACAAAACGACCTGAGTTCAATAACAGCCAGTTTGGGATATAGTTTGCTTTTGCTCTATATTATTACATTTTCAAATGTTATACATGAAGTGGGGGGCTCTCATTGTCTACAGGTACGGTGTTTGCCTCTCATTCAAAAGGTCCCAAGTTCAAAACCCGACAATGACATATCTTTTTTTTCTCCAAAATGTTCTCCTTTCACTTTCTTTCCTGCTCCACAATCATGTTCTGTTACCTGCTTTCATCTCCATCTTGTGCCCCCCTCCCCATCTTTTCTGGGCTCAGGGCTTTTTTTACTCCTGGCTCTTTCTCACTGCTGACTTTCAGCGACACCCCTGATCTTAGGGTAGTTAAGACTGAATACCTAGCGTTGGTCGCTCTCATATGACCTATGCAGTTGCGAGCGCCGTAAAACACTTACCAAAACAAAAAAATGTTTCAATGACCTAGTACCCTGGTCAGCCATTTTGAAAATTGACGGAAATTGAGAATGAAAACATCAATAAACTTCATTTCTGGTTCACTCAACTTAATTAAATAAATAAACTTTGATGCAGTTATTTTCTTTTGCGTGAGAGGAAGCAGTAGCCTACTCTTTTGTGCTGAAACAGACTGATTTTGGGACTCAAAAAGTGGAGGCATGGATCCAAAATAGAGGCTCCAATACAGGCCAGATGAACAAATGTTAAAAGATCAAGAAAACTTTCAGTTTTCCTGATCTTTTGAAAGATAAGAGGGCTTGCATATCCTGGTATCTTTTTGTGCAAGAATTTACTATAAATTCTTAATTCGTAGAGGAAATTTGACGATTTGTGAAGGAAACATTAAAAATTGAGACCCAGGCATTCACTGCCTGCATAACTGGACCAAAGTGAAAAAAAGAAAAAAGCAACAAACAACAAAAAACCTTTGACACAGCTCCGAGAATAGGCTTGTTGTTTGCTGTAGTCACTGACAGAAAATTTTCCGTTTTCATCACTGTTACAAACTCCTCTTGTCACAACTGACAAATAGCCTTCCAGCATTGCTACGGGGCTGCCAGTCTTCTTGTACTGACGGCTGAACAATCTGCATAATGTTGAATATTTCTCAGGATTGAAATCTTTCGCCAGCAACACAAGAGCAAATTGTGCAACCTGAGAACATGAAAGTAACTAATTAAAATGTTTTCATGACTACCATATCAGAGAGGAAATATTTATATAATATAATGTAAAACAAGATCTTATCTTTTTTCCTTAGGCAGCAGCATATGCACTTTCAAGTGACAGACCCTGTTTTAATAATGTTATTGCTTAAAATATTAACTAAGAGGATGGCAATATTTCATTCTTTTTTTTTTACAAAGAATACATTAGCTGCCTCTTAAAACCAATTAAACATTAGTTCTTTTGCTCCAATGATTAACTGTTAGTATACCAAAGGTTATTCCTCCTTAGTATGCAAGCAATTCTGTCATCCCAGTGTTTAGCGTTACAAACTTCCCCATAATTGCCCTCCACTTTAACTTGTTTACATAAAATATCACTAAAATAAGACGAAATGAATGCCCCAAGCAGTAAATCATACAAGTTGATTATAGATAAAATTAATTTACTGCACTGGTTTGGTAGATCTTCTTTAGTATGAATGAAATAATTGAGTGTGATGTCGTGAGCCAGCTGAACTACCGAGCTGTATATACTAAGAGTTAAAAGCTACCCGAATACAAAACAGTAAAAAAACTCAAGTCAAATCTTGAGACACAAATATCTCAACTTTTGTCAAATCTCAGTAGCCTTAAAAGTACTTTATACCAACAAAGTATACATGCTTTTATCAAATGTTCTGCTCATACAGCCAGCGGGGAGGAATGAGTCCAACATTTCTTTAGCTTTGTTTCTTAATAAATCCATCCCTTAACAAATGTTTTCAGTACTAAACCTCTGGAATGATCCAAGTTTAACCTGTAAAGAAAAAGGATCTGTATACTTTTTCAAGGCACTCTTCACTGAATGTATAGAAAAAAAGTAAACAGTACAAGGTTACAACGAATTCAATCTATTTATTCTGACACTGTAAATATGAGGTTAAGACAGCTCTTTTAATATATATATATGGAAACAAATAAAACTGCATCGCTTCCTTAAAAAAAAAACCCAATCCCTACCCTTTATCTTCTCTGACTAACACTTCATTAACAGGTAGGGAAACTTTCATTTCATTAAAATGGAAATTAATGCTTTTAATAAACATGCGGGGAAAAAAAATGATTTTGAATAAAAAAATCAGGCACTGACGAATTTTACAAAAGAAGACTAATTACCCGAGATAGTGCTGCATCCTCTGAGGTGACGTCAACAATGTATATGTAGTACCATGTCTGTTTCCATTGAGAGTATACAAAATTGATGGACAGCGGATTTTCAGTGCCAAAACCAGTTTTTGCAATCAAAAACTCTCTTTGCTCTGAAGTCACTGATGGATAAGACCAAGTCCAAAGCACATCATTGTTTCTATCCTTCTCTGAAATATAGAAAAAGTGATAGAGACTGCGTTGACAAAATTGCAAGGATTCATTGACATCTTTTTAAAAAAATCAGATAAACTAAGCATTTTTTAAACTCATAAACAATGATCTGTGCCCCACCAGTTGACCCTTGCATGAGACAGGCACAAGAATCATGGATCCCAATTTGTAACAGGAGGTCAAACCATTCTATTCTTTTTTTTTTCTATGCAGGCAGGACTTCATGCCAAAAGTTGCTCATACAGCTTCACTTTTCTGCTTGTCTCTTCTTGTGCTGTTTAAGGTTTTGTGGAGACATTTCATCTCAATTGCAGCATACACTGATTTTGCTTTCATGGGTTTTACTTAATTTTAACACTTTAAGGACGCATAATTTGGTCACTCAACAATACTTTAAGATGCATTGTTTTGGGGCATAACATCCTTATAAATTTTAAAGGATTTTTTTTGCAGTGTGTTGCTTCATCTGAAACTTTTAAAGGCATGCAACAGTATGCATACTAATACTATGAAATATTCAAAATCGTCTTTCTGATTTGTGTATGTCAGTTCAGTGTGTCACAACTTTGCCTTTGGTCTGCTGCTTATCGGACATATTATGTATACGGTCGCTTTTAAGGACAAGCGGGCTAAGCCAGATTTTGGTGGTTTCCAGAAATCTTGACCTTCACCAAAAGTGGGCATTGTCCTACCTATAGGAGAAGTTTGGTTTTATTGGAGAGTATATCTGTATAGTTATAGAGAAAACTCTCCTTGTCTTTTAAAGAAACTGAACAAGGGGCAAAAACTTTACCTTTGATTTTCTCAAAACAGCATTTTTAGGGATAGCCCCCTTGTGTTTAAAAGCGACCATATATCTGACTGCCCCGGTCAATATCGGTCATAAGACGCAGTGTGCTATTATCAGCAACGAGGCTCGAAAGGCAAAAAATTGACTTTCCATGAAATTTTGTTTTTTGGATATCCTCCGCTTCATTTAAGATAAAAATAAACAACTATAATCGACTATAAATGTTTTATTTTGATTTATTTTGGATGTGTGTGCGGTTTGCTGTGAGCTTGAGTGGCGAGATAAAGGAATTTGGACCTTGCTAGTGTGCAGCTGTGAGATTATTTTTAGAACCATTACCTTATGGCCACCTTTGCTTCAACCAGAGACCGAAAATATTTATAATCATTGGCTTCAATGTTCTTCATTCGCAACTATTTTCAGATTTTGACCCCTTTTCGGGAATGAATGGTCTAAAATGTAGACAACTCTGATTGGTAAAATGGAGTAAAAACAGTAACTTCTAGCTCACTTCAAGCTTGTCTACGTAAACAGCTGACTGTGTGGGCGTGACCTGCTAGCTGTTATCGTCTGAGGAGTTAATCTTTCAGTTTTACACTTGAGCTCTCGAAGTGGACTCCTTACCAAGAGGCCAGCGAGACGGTCTATGTGCATGTGTGTGTATGTTGATGGGTTTGAAAGTGTGTGCGTGTGTGTTTGTGTGAGTGTGCGTGAGTGTGTTTTTGTGGGTGTTGTGCTCTTGTGCGTTTATGGTGCTATTGCAAGCATATATATATATATATATAATTAGGTAGCGTAAACACGGCACGTAAGCCGACTCGCAGCCTTCCGAGCACGTGGTTTCGGTAAAATGTGGATAATTCAGATCTCTGTTTCTTTGCTCTTTTGCTATAAAACACCTAATGCAGAAAAACTTGAAAAAGTTCAGTTTTCCTTCTTCACAATAGTGTAAGCATGTCGTAAGTTGTTTGTATATCAAAGTATTTGGAGCCGGAGAATCGCAGGGGAAAAGGAAGCCCTCGCGGTCGAAATGCGAGGTCGGCTGGTTAAAACTTGACAACCATGCAATCGAATGCTTTTCAGAAAGATAGATGATTAAATACCGTCTTTTCATTGGTGGAGAACTATACAGCTTTGAGTGTGGTTTCCCGTAGTTATTATTTTTGGCCTTTGCTTAGAAAACCTTGAAAAACAGCGTCGAAGTTTTCAAAGATCATTTTTAACACGAAATGTGTAAAATACCGGCTAAAAAAGGTACCAAAGGAAAGAACAGTTCTTTTTCTATTAAAATAAAGTCATCGGCTTGGAATTATTTTGCATGAATCCTCCCGCGAAACTACCGGGAGCTCTCAGTGCACTACAGTATTGAGCCGACTCGCTCGCCGCGAGGGCTGGTGAAACACCGGATGAGACAACGCTCTGTGTTTTTACTGAAATAACGACAGATCACCGGGTTTGAGGCAATAAAATAAGTACTGAAATGTAATGATCTCACAGTCATGAAAAAAATTAGGCTTCATTTCTTTGTCATAGTCATTTTACTCTGTTAATGTGGAGATGTTTAGTGCACTTGGTACTATTCTATTATCTCTCAAACATGGGGTTGCAGCCAGTTAGCGACGTCAGCAATATTTGATTATTATGTAAAATTGAAACAGCTGCCATTCTCTTAAACATTGACTGAGAGGTAAAAGTATGGTACCAAAATTCTCAGGAGATATAGGCCTTTCATATTTATATATATATATGAAACAGATGAATTTGACATATATATATATATATATACAGCTACTTTGAAAACCTAGAATGATGCTAATATTTTGTTGCATTTGATGTGAAGTCCATCCTCGTGAAAATTCTGTTTTGTCCATAAGTTCTTTCTCTGTAAATGAATAGTTTTCTACTTCTGTATGTTAAGTCGTAGTGGCATAGCCAAGATAAAAACTGCAAATTTCAAGTCTCTATCTCAATTCTAAGACCCCCGTTGCTATGGAAATATGTTGCTCAACTTCGGAGGCCATTTTCTCCTTTTCGTGTTTCCTCACCTCGAACAATTAAAAGTTCTATATTTTCGTCAAATATGGTTATATTTACTTCATTGTTGTTTTAAACTGTAGGAAAAAGGTGATAGTTTTTAAAAATAATGTTAACTCAGTTTTGAAATTTCCTTCATAAGACTGATATTGACTGACAGGGACACATATATGTGTCCTCTAGGTCTCTAAAGTGTTAATGTCCTGGTCTGGCCCTGGTTGCATAATAATATGTAGGTGGTAGGTAAAAATATTAATTGGAAGTGATTAGCTGTCTCTTTGTGCTCAGGATATATCTGGATGAGATAAAAAGTGTGCAAGCTGATAGGTGACAGCTTTTTCAATGCACATTCCAATTTTTCTATCCAATCTGTGGACCTGTTTTCTTCCAGTAGTTCTAAGCATAGATATATTGACTTTTTCCTACTCATTGTTCTTGCTTCAAATTTTCAAGCAATATTTTACTCATCTCTAACTCTAACTGTTGGCTTAGAATCTAGCACTTCTACTCTTAGAGCCTATATTAAGCAATTTTTTAATTACTGAACTGACATCCCCCCCCCCCCCTTAATTAGTTTTTTTTTTAAAGGCAATTTTTCAGTTTGAGTTAAGTAGGATTGTGAACTCCACCACTGACATGACAAGATTCATTGTGTGCAATTAAAACACAAAATCAAACTGGAAGGAGTTCCGCAGAGGGCCGGCCAACCAACAACTCCTAACCATAACCTTATCCTGAACTCTAAGGCCCAAGCCAGACTGCGGATGGAGCTGGCCCGGGACTGGTGACTCAGCGGTAAATCACCTGTAATTTGATAGTGCCAGCAAGACTCAAGATGGTGGAGGTCCAGCCTCGCGTTCCATCAGTCCGTGGCGCCAGGCCTAGTAGTGCATGCTCTATTTTTTCGTAGCCCCAGGCTGGTAGTAGCAGTTCCGATTCAGCATTCATTTTGGCATTTTGTCAACACTTGCGGACAGGATTGACAAAATTGTAAAATATATTGAAATAATGCATTGGTTGCAACCTTATTCGATACAATTTTAGTATCATGTCTTAATTTCATGATTTTATGGATTTTATACGATGACCTACTTTCATCTCTACTGGTCATAAAATAGGCGAAGACTTCAATGATGTTTTCGTGATTTCAAACGTTTGCCGATATGTGAGTGAATATTTTCTGTATGGTTTTGATAAACCGATGGATTGGTTAATGTAGGCAGGTGAATATAGGTCTAGCTAAATGTAGATAGAAATAGTTGTTGGGCCCTGAACTGTTGTATCTTCGTACATGACTCTAGCCAAGTTGATAGACGTGTAGTACCGTAGCCTAGTAGGCCTAGGCATATATTATATATGTAGTAGGTATGGTATTTCGTGTTGTAATTAAAAAACTTCTCCTCGTCATCACACAGTTGGGGATAAAGTCTACATAAAATTCCTCTTGAGTGCCTTTTAGCGTTGAGAGGGTCAATCCATGATCTTCTTCTTTTGAACTTTTCTTTGCGATAGTTTTTTCAAAAGAAGTAAAACATTTATGGTTTCATCATCGTCAGACATTACGACTTTTAGAGAAAACAAAGATAATGCAGTCTAAATGAAAAACACAGGATGCAGGAACTAAAACAACACGTGTGTAGGCCTAAAATATCTCCAAAGAAAAGAATGTTAAGACAGGAGACACACATCAATGACCTCCGTCCTAGTTCTAGCCTTAGCCCAGCCCCAGCTGAACACACCAGCACTGCCACCATAATTGGAGCTCCACCAACCCCCTGACCCAGGCCAACCCCAGGCCAGCGGAATCCGCAGTCTGGCTGCGGCCTAACCTTAACCCTAACTCTTTTGTATAGTAAGTGTATAGTTTGTTCAGTGGACCTTGTCACGGTAAGTGCGGCCCTCTGAGGAACTCCTCTCGTCAAAGTGATCAACCTAGATATCAAAACTATATCAAATAATGCTTAGCACAAAATTCTTTCTTGTAATGTAGACCTAGAGTAGCGTTCGACTGGCAATGTTCAATGTTAGTGAAACGAGAATAAAAAATGCAACTTGTAATGAAATGACAATGCGTGCCCGGCACGCCCCCTAACTTCTTCCTGACAGATTAAAAGGTGGGTCCACCGTGAGGGAAGAGCGGAAACTAATTCAATACAGTTTATTTTAAAAACTTTTCTCGGTAAAAGCCAGTAGTAGATTCTTATTTGAATAGATACCTATAATTCCAGCAGCATTAAGATCACACAGCACAGCCATCACGGCTACGTAAATAAGAGTTGGGTCATGTGCGTGTCTGTCGCCTCCGGTTATTTTCCTGCCAATTTGGTGATCAGAGTGATCATTTTGGATGCACTCTTCAGTCAATAAGATCATTTTGTCTCACGTTGTGCACTAGAATCGACTACATCATGATAAACAAATATGCTCTAAAATCATGGTTTGGGCACTCATCCTTTATTCATTTAATGAATTTACTTGCAGTAAACAAAATAATGTATCCCACCATGGTATCAAGGGATTCTTAGATCTTCTTTTCGCCTATAATCGTAGGTGGCGTGAAAACGAATATATGCGTATTCGTATTATCTTTTAAGAATTAAGAATTATTCCCCTTGAAATTGCCGTGTTGTCCGGCCCAAACACAACATTGATCAGGCAAACTGATCTCAATGTAAACGTCTTAGTATTGAGAGATTAGGAGAACATGGATTAAAAGCTAGGAAGACGATTAGAAGGAAGACGTTATCACGTGTGTACGTCTGCGTTATCATGGCATTTTGTGCCATTGATTGGTATAAATATAGATTAATAGCCAAATGCCTAAAATCTTGTGTCTCAAGTAGTTTTGTAATGTAATCCCACCCTTGTCGCCTTGCCTGCCTTCCTTGCTGTTGCATTCAAATCAATAACCCCGCTATTATTTTTTCTCGTGTGAATTTCTATTCACGCCACCGTCTGGTTTATGTTGGATTGTCTGTAGGCCTTATTGATTTCTATCTTTTCTTTGCGGAGGACCTAAGAAAGGATATAATATAGATTATCTAGATCTAGATGTGGGCTAATATAATGAGGACCGCTGTGGGCGATAAGTTTGTAGAAGTGTGGTTCAAGACAAGTGTTTTGGTGTATTAGTCTATTAAAGTATCAAGGGGTGACAAAATTATAGCTATTGGTTGACTTATTTTAAAAATTTAATTATTGTTTTTATAGGCTTTTACTGTACTTTTAATCTTACGTGAAATTCGGGTCCCGAGTCGGATCCCCATTCACGCAGGTCAAGTATGTGTTCGTCAGTCTGCTTGAGTTTGTGTGCGTTTGTGGCCTTCTTCTAGAACCGCCTGCGTTGGTTCGTAATCGAGGCATACGTCTCATTCAAAACACGCCAAGTTGGTAGCTCTAGATGTTCGTCCAATGAAATTATAGAAGAAACTGAGAAAGATAGAGCGTTACTTTCATCATCGGTTAAAATATTCCTGCGGTATTCATGGCGGAAGCACACGTTTCCGGGCGTGCGCGCTGTACACCAACATTACCCACTGAGTGACCCCGGCGGCCTGCCCGGCACGTCCGACGTAATCGGTTGCTGAAGATTCGCATCTCGGCACAGACGCAGGACGAGAGTTAAAATAAATGAATTTCAGGGCCAGGCCTTTTCTTGGACTAGGTTCAAGAGAAAAGAAAAACTAGAAAGGACTAGACTACTAGAATCTAGATCTAGAAAAATCTAGTACAGAGTTTTAAAAAAACAGATGAAGTTAACTGTACAGATTTTTTTACAAGTTGGTGTGTATATTGCACGTAGAAGTTGTGTGGAGGAGAGAAGTGTCATCTTAGTCAAAATGAAGAAAACAGACTATTCCCTTCTGAGGTCCTTAGTGGAGGTGATCGCAGGCTTAGGGATGACTTACTTAAGGGCCATTAAAAAAAACAATTTTGAAAGGGGGAAGGCTTTTAAAATTTGGTTGTTTTAGTATAAAAAAACCAAAACGAAATGTGTCGGATGAGGAAGACCAAGTGTCATGGCAAAAAAAACAAATGGGTCCCCAATGAATGAGTGACACTTCAAATTCATATTTGACCTCCTTTGTTACAGACTTGGTGGGGGCTCTCGTGGCCCAGAGTGTTCTCCTTCAAAGGTCCCAGGTTCGAATTCGGGTAGCGGCGGAAACAATTTTCTTCTCTAAAATTGTCTCCTTTCACCTTCTTTCTCTCTAGCAATATTCTGTAATCTGCTTTCTCCACTTTCTTCCCCCCCCCCCTTCACCTCCTTTGCTCCCTCCTCTTGGCTCCTGACTCTTTTTGCAGCCTTTCTACTGCTACACCTTGATTCCTTCTTCCTGCTGTCTTTCAGCCACACCCCTGATCTTTTGGTAGGAAAGATCTACACCTAGCCTTCTCGGACAAGGGTGAAAAGTCTATGAGGTCTCGTGTGAAAGTTGTGCATGTTAAAGATTCCTTTGTGGTCCAAAGTCGATAAGAGTAGAGTAGGTTTCGGCTACCACCCGGGCAAAATTCAACATTTCCGACCAATTGAAATTTTTGGTGCGTCCCGCGCGCTCTATGACCTTATGCAGTTGCGGGCGCTACATAAAACACTTACCCCCCACAAAAAGGGACCGGGTAAACAGAGCGACTGCTCATCTCCCTTGTAACGATTCATTATGAGCTGAGGGCGGGGTCATAGGAGAGCATTCCTAAGATCTAAGAAAGACTAGGTTATGATGGATCACAGGCCTCCCTCATCAGCAGCTGAAAATGTTAGTGACTGGTCAACTTGGAACAATGGGAAGGACCTGTAACATGATTGGTTCATTCAATGGAGGGACTTACAAAAAAATAACATATGAATGGATTATGACAGCTTGTCCACAAGATCAAGGGCTCATAGAAATATTAATGGCAAAGTGTCTGTGAAGAGAGATTTGCGTGGCAATTGTAGACTGGTTTTTTTTTGGTTCTTGGTTAATATACATAGTGGTCGCAGCTGTGTTGGACAGATTATCATTTTAAGCAGTGCTGAAGAAAAAACCACAAAAGTGAAAGGGGGGGGTGGGGGTGGAAAGTGGCCAATTGCACAGGTGGCTATATTAATATATAATGTGGCCATCATGACAGGTTCTATTGTATTTTTAAATTTCCAAGACAGCTGTGTACCTCCACATATTCAGTAAATGTGAAGCATTCCTGTTGTGGGGAAATCTTGAAGACAGATTAATTTTGGAATTGACTAAAAACACTTCAATTTAGTGGCACAACTAAAATTTAGGCCTACTTTGTGTTCGAAACATCTAGAAACACCTGTTGTACCGTAGTCTCCGCTTATGATCCCACCACTTACGATCACGGTTCATGTAGGATCCCACAGAATTTTTACGAAACAAAAGTCACCCCTAAGATCACACCCTGAAGGACTATATTTGGCTAAGATCCTGCATTTCGATCATAATTCAGGAACAAAATCAACCAAGCTGTGAAAATTTGCGTTCATAGTACTGTCCCTTGTGTCACAGGTCAACCACCCATGTGGAATGTGATCACGGTTCAGTTGTAAATTTTGTTGAAACGGTTCTATGTTGGTCCCACACATGATCGCGCCGAGGTGTGAACTCATCAACGTGTTTGTTTTCCCCGAACATCACAATTGTGTCTGATCTCTTCACCTTGAACTTACGTCACAATCTAGGTGGGTAGAGTCTACAAGTCTACATCATAAGGGATCTCATCGTACTTTGAACTCTTTAGTGCTTTTGTTTTCCTGACTATTGCAACAGGTTGTCTCTACACCCAAATTTGCTTGACAGACTGAATTTTAATTGGTGTGGTCACCAAAAAGGCTGGGGAACTGGATAGGAAATGGAAAGCTATAGATTTTGGGCAGGTTAAGGGGAGGAGCAAAGATAGGCCTAGATCTTGAGACTCATGATTGGATTATAAGTGAAAATTGTGATTGGTCATCAGGGTTGACCACTCTTTGCTCGCTATAAAGTCTTAAACCACGTAGGGTTCACATCAGTACATTTCAGAGTAAGGGGAGACCATTTCATCGATTGTAGTCCTGACCATGAGTCACCATGAATTCTACCCTTGGTGAGCCAGTTGCCTAAGATGCCGTTCGCCTAAGATCACACATTTTTCTTGCTCCCAAGCACCAGGATCTTGGATCTTAGGTGGAAACTACTGTATGACATGTGTTATGTTTTAGGCAAATATTCATCAACTTTATCTTATAGAAAATATGCAGCCCAAGACGTAAATTGGTTTTAGAACTAAAATCACTTTGTATTTCTTTTTGAATAAGAATTTTAGCCTTTGCAGCATTCTATAAACTTTGTATCCTCAATTTTCAGTTTTACTAGTTATCTTTTAGTGATGAAGCCAACGTGAAATGCATTGTACAGTAGTCTTCGCTACGGATCCCACTGCTTATGGTACATGTTAACTCAAGATTCTGCCGTTTGGATCTTAGGCAGAGACTAAGTTACACAGTATATTTTAAAAAAAAATCATATGGTGATCTGTGTCAGTACTTTTTTTTTTTCATCTGTTAAAAATTTTTGTCCCTATTTTTTCAGTGAAAAAAAGAGCTGCCTAATTAAAGATGGCAAGGAGAGGCAGGTACCAGTTCGTGATTAAACTTGGAATCGTTGTGATCTTCATGCTGCTTTTAGGACCATATCTGTTTCACTTGAAACTCAGTGATGATGTAACTGATGATGCTGAATTGTACAGACAGTGGCAGGTTTGTACAAAAACTTAAGAACAACATAAAGACTTAACTTTCTGTGTACAACACTTAAAGTGACAAGTGTAATAATATACTGTGCTAATTATAATAGTTCCATTTCTCTGCATAAAAAAAAAGAAAAATTAGTGGTTCATATACATTATGAAAATGATTCTGATAGTATTTCTTTTGATTGCAGTTCTAGACAGTGTAGTAAAGGTCTACTATATAATAGAATTGGACGTAACTAGTTATGGGCAATTCTGACTTTTAAAAAATGAGAACAGATAAAATTTTAATAGAAAATGAATAATTGTAAGTAAATTGTAAGTCACTATGTCTTCAACTTACATTTTTTCCAAGTACTAATAATCTAAAGATATGTGCTGATTGATCAACTTTGATTGTTGTTTCAGTTTTTGAATTTGAAACGTTAACACATACAGCCACTATGTTTGGGAGGGAAAAGAATGTCACTGTGGCAAATATTTATTCCCTTTTGTTTTAAGTGATTTTGTAAGAGAATCAAAATTGATTTTCATTTCTTCGAAAAGATGATCATATTATTTTCCGTCTCCCATTTTATCATCTTAGTTGCGGGAAAAGAAAATCAAGAGCTCTTCCCTGAAAGTGGTTGGAGAGAAACAAGAGCAGCACACACCAGATGAAGATCATCATGAAAATGTGCTTGAGAAAGCACCTGCCGAGAAGCCGTCGGCTACATTATTGGCTGGGGTCTTTGGGAATTTTGAGCCAAAAGAACGAGAAATACCAGATGGCCCAGGTATGTTCCATGTAACCTGCCATGTCTTTATCTTTGAATAACTGGCATTGATTTGAAAAAGTAAATTGCTATTCAACCAGGGTTGACGACAATAACCTCATAAATACTGACTATTTTATTGGAAAGATATTTCCTTGTTATCAAGCTTAAGTTATAACACGGTAACATCATTTCTTTGTCATGGCTTTTTCTTGTAACGTATGAAAGGTACACAAGAACTTCATAAGTCATTTCAGGCTAATTCTTTGTCATATGGTTTTTTACTTTTATAATGCTTTGCTCTTTATTGAAGTAATGTACAATTTTAAAATACAAGATGAATTATGTATTTTGCCTAATGTAAGATTAGTATTTGGAACACTTAAAATTTCTGTAAAAATGGTGATGTACCATGATATATGTACTGGTATTTTTCAAATAAGACTGGAAACAGTAGTGTTTCAATTCTTTAATACGAGATGAATTATGTGTTCCTTCATAATGTAAGGACAGCCTTTGAACACTTTAAATTTCTGGGGACGTATCATGATATTGTGTACAGGTATTTTTCTGAAAAGACTGGAAACACTTTGCCAAATCTTTTTTTGATATAGTATGTTTATTTGTGGTTTCCATCGTTGAGATTTCAAATGTTGCTGCACTGAAATCACGCAAAAAAATATTATGTTATTAGCTTGTAGCCAGGTGAATTGTGATTGTCATTGTGCTTGGGGAATTCTCATTGAAGGAAGAACAGTATAGTTTTGACTTTATAAGAAAATTGTGTGTCTTATTATTATACAAAAAATCTCTGGCTAGGTACATTTAGATTTAAGGCTTATTTAAGGCTATTTAAAATATTATGTAGAAAAATTATTGGTGACATAAATTTCTTCACAAGAGGGGGGGAGGGGTGGGGGGGTCATTCTGTCAAGACTTGGGTTGGTACCCTGGAACTGTTAGAAACATTTAGGGTCTGTGAACTTGTTTTTAACATATCATGTACAGACCTAAGGTTTCCTTTCTTCAATGATGTTTAACTGTGTAACTGGTTTCTTGAAGATTTTTCAACAGGCAAAAACAGCCTTTCAGATTTAAATGATGAGAAAAGATAAAAGCTGTTGGCCCTCTATACTATTTATTATGCGTGCTGACTCCGGATTTATACTGGATGACCAGCAGAATAACCTTAGCGTTTGTTTTAGAACTTAAAAAAGAGTTGACCTATTCCATTTAGTAACAGGGTAAGAGCAGAACACCAGCCTTGTATTTGTACTATATATTTAGATTAAAAGTAAGAGCATGACAACAATGTTTGTCTAGTTTGGTCGAGGCCTTTGTGAAGATTTTTGCTCTTATGCTGTGAGCAGGTTTTGAAAAGGGAGTGTGCCTGTAGGCAGAAGTACAGTGCCTTTATGCATGAAAATTATTCACTAAAGAATCTCTTTTTCTTTTTTTTACATTTATATGCTGTGTCTTCAGGTAGAAATTTTTGTGGATGGTGACCATATATCTGTAACAACTATCTGTTTCATTGTTACTTAATGACTGGTTTAACCCTTTTCAAATGGTTTCTTTTCTGGTAGGTGAAAACGGAGCATCTGTAAAAGTGCCTGACGGCAAAAGAGCACTTGCTCAACACACAATACAGGAGTTTGGCTTCAACATGGTTGCAAGCGACCAGGTTGCAATGGACAGAGTGGTCCCAGATACAAGACTCCCTGAGTAAGGGCTACTGCCAAGCACAAATGACACAAACAGTGCACCCATATTCTATCTTTATTGAGTGAAATTATGTCTCTTGTAGAAAAACAATTTTACAGCAGATGTATGTGCTACTGTTTCACTGTACATAACACTGTCAAACCTGTTTATATGGCTGCTTGTCCAAGGCAGTTGCTTGTACAAACAGCCACTTCCCGTCTCTCCCCCCAACCACATTAAAAAATATTATAATGACACTGTCAAAGACATTCACATATAAAAGGCCAGAAGATTTTACTTTGACAGTGAGTTACCATTTTGGACTATTTTGACTGTCATTAGAAAGGATTTTCAGTCATTCTCAAGAAACAGCAACTCGCTCACTTTTAAGTTCTTCATTTTCATTACCACTGCTTGTCTGTTTGAGGATTTTAATGGTCATGTATTCTTAAGGTACAGGTTGTTTTTATGTCAATCGGATGTATCTTCTGGTTCCCAGATGCAAGTTCTGGAAATATCCAGAGGATCAGCCGCAAGCCAGTGTGATTCTGGTATTTCACAATGAGGGCTTTAGTACACTTGTGAGAACCATTCACAGTGTTATTAACACATCACCACCCCAACTGCTGAAGGAAGTTGTGCTTGTGGATGATTATAGCACCAAAGGTGGGTGTAGATTTCAGTGAATATTACTATAATCTATTTTGAGCTTCTAGTGTTATGGAATGTGTTTAGGACATTGCTGTACAGGGAGAATGGTGTGCTGAAGCAAATATTAATGAAAGACCATATTTGTCAAATAGTTTACTGATGTGCACAAACGTGTGGTAATATTTTTTTTACTCATAGGTTAAAAAAAGTAAATACATAACATGTTTTTTTCCGCTCATTTCAAGTAATTGCCATTTTACACATGATTTTATTTTACTGTTAAATTTTTCATTGCATAGTTTGCCCCTTGGATTGTTCGCTCAGTCAGTCTACCAATCTCTTCAGGTTTCTTTACGTTTGAATCAGTGGCATAAATGATCTTCATGATGTTCTTAGTCACTCTGTATACTTTACTGAGGTTTTTTTCGCCTTATTAAATTGCTGAAATGATGCTCATGTTTAAAAAAAATCCCATATAGCCCATTTGAAGGGCCAGCTGGAAAACTACATCAAGCAGTTTGGAGACTTGGTAAAACTTTACCGCAACTCTAAGAGAGAAGGTTTGATTAGAACCAGGACACGAGGAGCAGAACTGTCCAGAGGAGATGTCATAGTCTTCCTTGATGCTCACTGTGAGTGCAACAGAAACTGGCTTGTACCATTGCTCGACAGAATAAGAGCAAACAGGTATGTTAGTTTTCAGGGTAAGGAATATGCAGCTGGTGCAATACATGTCAAAAGGGTAGTTTTATTTTGTTTTGTTGCCTTTGAAGTTATAAGCTGTCTGTTATATTTTTTTTGGTTGTACTATTATTATTCTCTGCCCATTGCCAAGATCCAGATGAGGGTTGTGAAATTGTTTCAGGGTCATCAGATGGTTCTGTAAAATATACGAGTATTGAATAAAACTAAAAGAAACTCTAGTTGTATCTTTACTCTACTGAGACATTATTATGAGCAAAAAAATTCTAGCTTCAGTTGATTTTGGGTTAGTGAAGTCAGTAGACAATCCGTTACCCTAGAATTTTAAAGATTTGTCTGCTCAGTACCTAGTTTTGAGAAATTTGATGTTGAAAATTTTGAGTTTCACAACATGTCAAGCTTTTTCAAATGCAATTCTTTGAATATCTTGATAATGATTCCAAATAATCTTAAAAGTTTGATAGAGCATAATAAAGAACATTTTGTTTCTGGTCTCACGGTCATAGTAACTCAAATCTGCCGAAAGGGTCAGATAGAACTTTATAATTCTAAGGCAATGAATTACCTGCTCTGTCCCAGTGTGTGTTGAACATTGAAACAGCCCTTTCGGTACCACTTTAGAGTCTGTCTGCATAAAACCTCGTACTTTAGAAATTTTCTACTTTGCCAGCAAGCTGTTCAAATGTTCTTAGCCCAGAAAGCAAAATGTTTCAATTGAGAGAAAAATGTTTCATTCTTTAAACAATTGGACCTACTATATTTTTTGGTGCTTTTTTCAACATTGAGAATTAGTAATTTGACAAAATATTTCTTGAGCACATGCGGCGGATACCACAGATTACGAAACTGTAATTTAATATAATTTATTTACTGTATTCATTATTATTTTTAAAAATTTCAGGTTGCTTTAGCTCATGGAACTGATACCACAGATTAAGAAACTGCTATAAAACTATTTCAAATTTTGGGGCTTAGTATGTGAACTGCTGGATGACGATGAATGCCTAGATCTATTACTTCCTATCGAAGCGTCTTTGGTCTGCGTTCAGAAATCTTTCTTTTTCCCTCGGTCTGCTCTTTGGATCAGGTGTTTGGCTTGTTAGCTGTATCAACTCATGTCTGTGGTATCAAGAAATTTTCCTTCTTTTCTAAACTTTGAATTGCCCAAAAGGTTTAGGACACTACAGTCTTGAAAGAAAATTGGCCCTACCTATCTGTTACACCCTGTAGTGACAAAAGAGGGCAGTAACAATTGGCTACCCCTACAACCTAGTGGGGCAGCTTTTGAGAAGAAAAAAATAGGAGTGTTACATGTACCTTATGTACAAATTCTTTTTATATTAAAAAAGAATGTTTGTTTCCAGATTTTCTTGAATTTTACTTTTTTGTTGGGTCAAAGTAAATATTTGTCTTTATCTATAGGGTTAATATTATAAAAAATGCTGGTACATGAATTGTTTTTTGAACGCATTGTTAACAGGAAGACCATGGCAGTTCCTATTGTGGATGGAATAGACTGGGACACAATGGCTTATAACTCAGTGTATGGCCATGGAAGGGCTCACCATCGAGGAATATTTGAGTGGGGCTTTTTGTACAAGGAGAATAAAGTACCAAAGAAAGAGCTGGCCAGACGAAAACATGAAAGTGAGCCATACAGGTGAGGTGTTACTGAATATACCACTTGATAGTGTGAGTTCCACATTTTTAGATATCAGTACATCGGACATGATATTATCTCTGGGTCGTAAGTCCTAGGATGTTTTCATTTGAATGCCTGAATACAACAAGCACACAGTTTCCCTGACATGTGGTTTGAATGAGATTTCTTTACTTGTACCTTGTTTTGGTTCATGTATTATGAATGTGCAGGTTGGTTTGATTTAGTCAAAGTGTTTCGCTGTTAATGAGCTTTCGTTGCGAGGATGCTGGTGAAGTTAAAACAAAGGAGTGATACAGTCAACTCACTTCACATGACTGTCGGTTTACTTGTCAGATCCCTGACTTATATTACATAAATCTAAGTCAGAGCAGCAGGACAGTTACAAACACCATGACTTCTTTTACATTTGAAGAATTAATTTAATGTTTACTTTTTGACAAAATATATACTCATACATCAGCTCAATTTCCCATGTACAGTATACTCTGCCTAAGATCCCACCACTTGCAATCCCGGTTCACTTAAGATCCTGCCCTTTAGAAAAAACAGAATTTTTACTGCACAAAAGTCACTCCCAAGATCCAGCTATGAAAGATTCCATTCAGCTAAATCCTGCATTTGAGATTATAATTTATGGAACAAAATCAGCGGTGGGTGCAGCTGATCAACTAAGCAGTAAAAATTTGAGATCATTGTACTTCCCGTTGCGTCACAGATCATCCAGTTTCATGAAAATGATCACAGCTCGGTTGTAACTCGATGAAAGGGTACAATGTTGTCTCTAGATGGGATTAAACCAAGGTGTTACTTGTCGATACATTTGTTTTCCCCAAACTTTGCACTAGCTCCTGAGCTCTCTATCTGAACTTACATCACAAGCTGGGTGCGTAGGGCCCACATGATCGTGTCAGACAGGATGACGTCGAACTGTGAGCTTTTTATGCTTTTGTTACCCTGACCACTGCAGCAGTAGTTGTCTCTGCTCCCCAATTTGCTAGACAGGCTGAATTTTATTTGGTGTGGTCACAATGCAATAGTGAGTTACGACAGAGGTGGGGGAACTTGGTCAGAGATGGAAAGCCATAAATTTTGAACAGGTAAAGGAAAGGAGCAATAGGATCGGTGTAGATATTGAAACTCATGATTGGATGAGTGAAAATTGCATGCCTCATACTATTGTAATTGGTCATCAAAGTTGACCACTCTTTGCTTTCCATAAGTCATAAATCCACCCAGGGCTCACGTCTGTTCATTTAAGAGTAAGGGGAGACCATTTTGTCAGTTGAAGGCCTGGTCTTGAGTCACCGTGGATTATCCCCTCTATGCGTTGGCTTAGTTCCCGTTTGTCTGAAACCTCACATTTTCCTTGCTCCCACGCACCAGGATCTATGGCGGAGACTACTTTATTAGTGCCACTGGATTGAAAGTACCTTGTTTTTTTATATATATGAAAGGGTCATGTCTGAACATGTTTGACTTTGATGGGTATATGAAAATATTTAGATGTAATGAATTCATGAGTTACGTCGTTAAAAAACATTTTGTTCTTTTTATAGCAGTACTTGGATTTGTACCTTTTATTAAAAAAAGAAAAACATTCTTTTTTTTGTCAGATCACCAACTCATGCAGGCGGACTTTTTGCAATGGACCGGAAATACTTTTTTGAACTTGGAGGTTATGATCCTGGACTGAAAATTTGGGGTGGTGAAAACTATGAACTCTCTTTTAAAGTAAGTTTTGAATTGACATGTATATTAATGGGATAAAGTCAAACTATATCAGTCAGAGACAGATGGGAGAGTTTTTGGACAGTAAGTTTATGGATAAAGTTGCGAGAAGGAGTGCTTGCAAGAAGCATCATGAAATAGTTGCTCTTTAAACTTTGGAGTTGATTTTTAGGGTCTTGTGTGACTGTGGAAATACTTTTACTTTTTTTTCCATTACATTATTATCAAATATAGGTTTGTTGAAAGCTTGTGGTCTTTCTATGAAAAGATTATCTGTTTGTCTTTACGTTTAATATCTTTGGAGGGGTTGGTTTTTTTCACCTTAGATTCATAGTTTTTGGGAGGTTTGTGAGTACAGCAAGTCCTTCTGTCATTTCTTAAAATGTATAATTCAAATTTCTTACTTGGGTTGGATGAAGTTTGATGGATATTTGAAATCGGGTATACATTTTAATATGTTGTATAATGGATTTTTTAAATTGTTATATTGCTTAAGTGATTGATTATTCAATTTAAATGTAACAATTTTTAAATTATTTTCTTTTTCATGGAAACTGTTCTGAATATTTTCTGCTCAGACGTCTGCTTGTTCATTGACCATCAATGATTAATTATATTATAAGAAGTTTGTCATCTTCTCCTCCTCTTCTTCATTCTCATCCTCATCCTCATCTTCCTTCTCATCCTCCTCATCCTCTTCCTCCCCTGCAATTGACTTCATATTCCTCTGTGTCTTCCTCTTCTTTCCCGTTTTTATTCTTCCTCAACGTCATTCTCCCCCACCTCTTCTGTTGGTCAAAATAATGTTGACAGTGTCAGTTTTCGAACCCTATTTCATTAACAAAGGCTGCAATCTTTGCCAAGTAATGTTTAATTTTAAACTGATATGTGTCGCTACAGCTCCTAAGAAGCTACAAGACAGAAATGTTCAGTTTTGAGTGATGTTCATTTTCTTCATGTACATAGTTATAAGAAAATTTGGAGCAAATATGAAGTGCAGCACCCCTGTTTTGAGAAAACAGATGTCAAAATTTGGGTAACATTTTCCTTGGCATACAGATGCTATTTGAAATAAGTTTTAAAAAAATAAAGAAAGACAGCGAATTTCATCTGGAATTTTTATTTTCAAAACAGAAAAATGACCGAAGAAGTCAATTTTACATAAAACACACGATTTAGACCAAAATCACCCTTGGCACCTATTTTGGCCGCTAGTGCAAATGGAAATTCCTGTCTTATGGCTCCTTTGGAGCTGTGGTAACACATATATGTGGGTATGTTGTGTTCTTTCAGGCAAGCCACTATGATTACTCAATTCTTATGGTATTTTCTTTGTTTCACAGATATGGCAGTGTGGTGGGATCATAGAATGGGTGCCATGTTCAAGAGTTGGGCACATTTATAGGAACCACATGCCTTACAGTTTAGGCAGTGATATAGACCCCCAGATGTCACCTATAAGTATTGTGAGTACATGCAATTTGTTTTGTTCCAAAGATCTTGGTCATGGAGTCTTATTTCTTTTCTCACTTTACACAAATTTCCCTTACTTCACACAGGTGTGAATGGGTACCCAGCCATAGACAGCGATAGATCTTGTCAATATGTTAGTGTTTTAGCACCTTTAAAATGGCTGCTTGCACTGTATGATTGCCAGGAAGTTGAGATTGTTTCAGAATGCTATCGGGTCTTCTAGGGTAATGATATATAGGTTGATTAAAAAAACATGTGGTGTGTACAACTTTTTAAAAAATATTATCCTCCACACTGAAGTTTTGCATTTCAGATTTGTACACAATATTTGGAAGTCAAAAGGAATTGGTCTGATATTCATTTGAGATAAATCTACCAAATAGTTTTTCACTACATAGCACGTAAAAAAACCAACCCATTTTCAGCTATGTCCCCATTTTTGTAGCATGACGCACTGGTTTACATTAAGCCTACCACTAAAAATCCTAACGATTGCACCATATTGCAAACTACAGCAGTCTAACAGGCCAACAGAAGTTTGCGCATAGTTTTTCTCAAGGTTCCTTTGCCTGCTGAGATCATGATTAAGATTAGTAAAGAGGAAAGAGCTTTTTGTATTGAACATTTCCTCACCGCCAACTCATTTCGTAAGTTTCGCGCAAGGTACGGAAATAATGTTAAAATACCCTTAAGGACTTCTTTGATGTCAAGGGGGAAATGGTCCATCAGTTAGGACCTGTTGAGAATCAGAACTAAAAATTCCTAGACAAAACGACCACTTCAGGTTATACAGATGAGCCCCATGAGACGTTTGTCCGTAGACGATGCCTGCAGCAATGACTTTCCTACGTCTCAAAGGTCCACATTCTCAAGGCATATCTTCATCTACAACTGTACTATTTTCCCGTTTGTGAAGCTATCATAGGATAGCAATGTGTACAAGATTCCTCGATTATTTGAAAAGCGTGAACATTTCTTCTATGACATTTGGTTCCTTGGCAAAGCCCCTATTCATCTTTGAGGTTATATCAACTCCACAAATGCTGCCTGATTAGGCGACCTTCCCCCCCAAGAAATATTGTTTAAAGGTTACAGGGATGGAAAGATTAGATTTTTAAAATAAAAGGAAAGGAAAAAAACAAACCAATCATTTCATGACTTTCCTTACAAGATCTTTTAAATTGATGCTTTTTGCATTTATAGGTGGTTTTTATACAAGCCAATTTCATTTTCGAAAAAAAGTTTATTCTTTGTGAATTTTATGTCAAACTAATTCCTTTTGAATGAATTATATCTGTTCCAAATTACAGTATTCCAGTACAAATTTTGTGTGAGATATTTATCAAAAAAGTTGTACAGTTTTTTTAAATCACTCTGTAGATTGTAAAGTGCATAGAGCTTGCTGTTGAGTGGAAATTTGCGCTATACAAATGCTTTTTGTTTATCACTATTATTCTCTTTTCACAGAACTACATGAGAGTCGTAGAAGTATGGATGGATCCAGAATTCAGAGAATATTTTTACACCAGAGAACCAAGTTTAAGAGGCTACCCCATTGGCAACATTACCGGACAGCTCAATTTTAAGAAAGAACATAAGTGCAAGAGTTTTAAATGGTTTATGGACAACGTAGCGTATGACGTGTTCGATCAGTTTCCCAGGTTGCCACCGAACAAGGCATGGGGAGAGGTGAGTAATTTGTCTTTTTTATGGGTGGTTTCAAGAGCTGTCCTACGATTTGCTTCTTTTAGTTTATTTTTAGTCCTTCTTATGTCCTGCAGAAAAAATTTATGTATGTAGAATATGATAATAGCTTTCTGTCTCTGGTTCTTTTTCTGTGTGTGTGTGTGTGTGTGGCTTTTCTTTTTTTCACTGTCACTGCCTCTCTCTGTCTGTCTGTCTCTCTCTCTATCTTCCTCTTCCTCATATCCTCCTCTTTCTTACCCACCTCTCTCTTTACCTTCTCCCCCCCCCCCCCCCACCTCCCTTTTTTTCATTCCTCCTCTTTCACCTCCCCCACCCCTTTCTGTCTGTCTGTTTGTCAGTCTGTCTATCTGTCTTTCTCTCTCTCTCTCTTTCTTTCTCTCTCTTTTCCTCTCTCTCTCTTTTCCTCTCTCTCTGCTCCTCCCCCCCCCCTCCCCGTCTGTCTCTTTCTTTCTCTCCTAATGCACTATTTATTTGATTTTTATGTAGAAGAAATTGATGACTATAAAGGTACAACATATTGTAGACTAGTCCTTAACTTGTTCATCACCAGCTGTTTTTCAACACTGCTTTTCCGTGTCTACCAGCCATTTCACGTTTGGTTTTTTTCTCCAGAAAACCACTGTTCTTTTTCAGTTCAAAATGATAGCTGAAATTTGGAATGTTTTGTAAGAACATAAGGAATATTTTATGAAAGCAAAAAGAATGATCTTTGTTCTTTTTATTTTTGAACAGAGTGCAAGTGGAGATAAAAAATCATGATATTTAGAAACTACATGCAGATGACAAAATTATGGAAAAGTCACAGATGAAATGGCATGAAAATCGACTGGATTTATTCTATTTTCTTTTCCCAACAAAATGTCATGAATTTGAAATAACTGCTGAGATAATAAGAGCCAGAACTCTTCTTTGGTCTTGTGGTCAGCATAACATGGTCCCATAGGAGATTGTCTCCATAGAATCAACGCTGCTCGATTTATACTTATTTAATTTCAATTTCACATAGATTTTACAGTTGGTAGTTGATTGAGATTTCATACAGGCCTGCATCTATTGCAACTGTGACTATTTTAGTGACAAGAAATTCTTACATTTGAAGGCTTTGACCTGCGGTAGTAAGCCGTTGAAGCATGTCTGCACTGCAATAGGTTTGATGACAGTATAGAGTGAGTTCAAAGGTAGGTAATGCTTTTGCAGTTAATTTTGCTGGAAGTCCACCGCAATTGCTGTCCCCCAATTAGACTGGACCAAAATTACATTGCGGCTAGTGAGCTGTTAAAGCATTTTCACCCATGATAGATGGTAGAGTGAGTTCCAAGATCGGCAATGTTAATGCTGTTAATATTACTTTAAGAAGCTGTTCTGCATTTGTTGTGCCCTCAATCAAAGTGAGCCAAACTCACTTAGAATTGTGTGGACGTTTCTAGATTTGTATTTTCTTGAGCATGGGTGGGAAATGATTTTGATATGGCCACAGGCACTAAGCTCAGAAGTCTTCAGTTCTCAGAACTGTAAATATTGTTTTGACTTGTTGACCCATGTTCATCACTGACATATTTTGGATCAAGGATCCAAGTAGCTGACATTGTTATGATTATTTTTAAAGAATATTCTATTCTTTTTTCTCAATCTGCTCTTTTCCTCTGCAGGTTCGACTGCAAGGAACAAACTTATGCTGGGATGCTCACTCTACTGAAGTCGGAGGGTCATCTGTTGGTGTCGGACACTGCCATGGCTATGGTTCCTCGCAGGTACTATGTCCTGTGGTTACTGTGCATCATTCGGCACAGTTGTCAAAAATGTCTTATTATAGTCTGTTTTTTCCTTCTTGTTTTCTTGTTCCATATTTCAAGCAAGGTGTGTACATATTTATCTTCATTTTTTTTAGCCAGCAAACACTTTTCACTATGGATGTCAGAGGTGGGATATACAGAATACAGAAAGAATGGTGCGTGTGTGTCTCAGTCCTACAAGAGGCATGAAGTGTTGCCTGTTTTAACTCCACCTCTATTTCTCACATAGTGTATATCTACAGATTTTCAGGTGTTTGCTTATATAATGAAACTCATCGGGCCTGACCTTCAGTTTCTTTGTATCCAAGAAGTCATTGAAAGCTATTTGAACTTATTTGATCAATAATTGGTTTCCAGTGCGGGTATATATAATATTTAAAATAAGGCAGTTTCTCTCAAATGCATGCCTGCGTCGCATGACATATTGTTTGCTGAACAAGTTGCACTGTTGGGCTTAGTGTAAAGTAATGTTTTGTTCTACTGATCAGCGCACAATTCAATAAAAAGATCTATGTTAATCACTGTGGCGTTGATGGCCTAGTGGTTAGGCTCTCAGACGCGCAACCGTAAGGTCGTGGGTTCGAAATCGGTCAGGGACCCGACGTTGTGTCCTTGGGAAAGGCCCTTTACATGAATTTTCCTCACTTCACCCAGGTGGGAATGGGTACCCAGCTATAGACAGTGAAAGATCTTGTCAGTTTATTAGTGTTTGAACACTTAATCAGCTGCTTGCACTGTATGCTTCCTGGGAAGCTGAGAATGTTTCTGAGTGTTCTATGATCTGCTGGGGTAATAATATAGTGAAAAGCGCATAGAGTTTGCTGTAGTCGGGTTATGTGCTATACAAATGCTATCTATTATTATTATTAATATTATTATTATTATTATTATTATTATTATTATTAATATTACTGTTCAATACCTGGGGAAAAAAATTATGACTGTTGCGACTGCATCTCAGCTGCCATTCCACTCCCAGAAGGCTTATTTCCCCACCCCATTTGACACACACACAACCATATGTGTGCTGGTCGCCTGTCTGACCTCTCCTGACCCCGGCACTCTGTCACCTGTTAGACACATGTATAATGTGTGTGTCAATAACACATGTGAAAGCTTCATTTCTTGCTTTCATGCCCAGCATTTGCTGTGTCAAAGAAAGTGATTATAGAAAGTGAGCCGTCAAGTTGGGACTAGCTTTAATTTTGCTGTACATTAAGGGGTTGTTTTTTGGTTTGGGGGGTGGGGGTGTTGTCATAATATGTATACAGTCTAATACACTCATAGCAATATCGGTGGGAATCTTTTCGTTATATCTGAATTTTGCTATGTACGTGTTTTAAAACAGAGTATATATACTTGATATTTTTAAGAAAAAAAACAGGTACCTGAAAATCTGTTGACTGTGTGCGTGTTTCCTCATCATGTCATGTTAGTGTTTATTATGTGCGTGTTGGACTGTATAAGGCAATATATCAATTTTGTTTTTTGCAGCAATTCCGTTTGAATGAAAGAGGTCAGATTGGAATTGGAGAAAGATGTATAATGGCACAAGGGGCTGATAAACTTCACATTACCTACTGTTCTACAGCACCTGTTGGCCCCTGGGAATGGGATGAGGTTTGTTCGACTGTTATTTAACTGATTCAGCCCGCAGCGCATCTCACAGCGGCTGACCATCTTCTGTATTTTGACGCAGAGCCGTTCTTTTCTATTGCTCCCTTTTCTTCGCATCACTTTCCCCTCATCTTTTTTCCCGACTGCTTACATTTCAACCCTTTTTATCTGGTTGCATTGAACATTTCTGTATACCACGCATAGGGTTTTATCAAATTTAAATATTTATTTGTTTATTGTTTTATGAGGCCACCCGTGAGATCACGAAGTGGTCACAAATTATTTGTATACAGAGTCAAAATTAACTGTGGGCTGAATTAGTTAAAAATCAACATACATGTTTCAGTTGCTTTGTTGACATTTTTCTGACTTAACTGTTGGTTGTTTTTAAAAAAATACTTTTTACTTGTAAATGCTAAAAGAGCACTATGTCATAGTACTTCTGTCATTAAATGTAAGTCTTGCTTAGAATAACTTTATGTGACATGAATGTGCATGAAACTTTCAATAATGGTGGGGGTAGGGGGTGGGGGGGAGGGTCGACAACGGGGATGAAAATCAAATTTTTCCTGTGTAGTTCAGTCCTTATCCCCTCCCTTCTCTCCAGTTTGTAAAACGAAGACTGATAAAAAGTTAAGGTCATTAGAAAAATAAAATTGAAAGAGAACTGAAACATCGACTTTGTTAGTGTTCCTCTCCTAAAGCATACATTCGAACCTGCCTTAACGGAAACCTGTATAAAACGGAAATCCTGTCTAAGGGAATCTCCCCGCCCCCCCCCCCCCCCACCCCCCCTTGATATATTCCTCTTTAATTACCTGCATAAAACGGAAACCTGTCCAGCGCGGAAACGGAAAGAAAAATCCGCTCCCTTCCGAGGGTTTCACCTGTCTAAGACGGAAAATGCTTTGCCTGCTCAGCCCTGATTTGAAACGAAACTCGCAAGTTTGGTTCTGCTGACTCTAAACTTTACGGTTATGCCATGCTGCTGGGCGAGGAAAGGGAGTAGGGGTGCAATTTGGGGGTAGATTTTACCCCATCATGTGAGCCCTGAGCGATGCAGATGGTCAGGGTAGTGTGGGTGTGAAATCTCACGACTCCGGGAGAGTGCTCGAGTTGCGAGCCGCTACGGAAACTTTCTTGGGTAGCCAGAAGCCAGAGGTGTGAAATTAGATTGACCAATGCCTGCCGCCCTGATCGTAGGGCCAGCCGAGAAAAGAGTTCCTCGAATTGTTACAATGATGGCAGTGAAGGGTGGCATTGGTGGGTGGGGCTAAGGGTGGAAACAAAGGAGATGATGTTCAAACGTTTCTGTTTTTAATAAGTCAAACAGTGGTCCTATGAAAGACCACTGGTGGTAATTGGATAAGTAAGACTGACGCATGTCATTATCAGACATGATAGCAATTGAGAGGTGTGAAGTTTTGACCACTGCTTGCTGA